GTGGAGAAGACAAGTAGATGTGGTGATGGAAATCAGTGAAAGTTCTTATTAAAGTTTCTCGGTTTAGGAGGACATAAGGTCATCACCTGGGAGGACAGGTAGGAAGTTTCAGGAAAAGGAAGAGTTCTAAAATAGTCTGGAAGAGTATGAATGAATTGGAGAAGTATCATCAAGTATGATTGGCTGTCAATATTAAGGTCTCATTTGAGATTTGTGGTAATGAAATTAATCCAATGAGAGTGGTTATATATTTTTCTGCAGCAATGTTCAGCTGTAATGGATTCCATCACTGAATAGGTAGAGAGTTGTGTTTAACCAGTATTATGGTTGCCAAACAAGTACAGTGAAGCCAGAAAGTGGAAAGAAAAGTGTGCAAGGGACACATTACCAGACAGAGGTGAGGAAAGATATCCAGGGTGAGGGATTGTGAAAAGATGGTTTAATCAATGAACTGGAGGCCCCAGTGGGTTTGAAGAATTGTATAAGTCAGGATTCTAGGATTGAAATAGAAAATAGGTCATAGGATGAGAAGCATATAATTGAGATCATGGGTAGGGGAGCAGTAATTAGCAGTTAGAGTGACTAAGAGAGCGTAAGATGGGGGTGGATAAGATCAGTGGAAGAATTGAGTTCAAGGAACTGAGAGCCTAGGGTGATGGATAGGTCATATATTTATATATTGAAATCACCAAGAATTGATGCAGGAGTATTATTAGAGTTACAATAAGCCAGAAGTTCATACTTTTGAAAAACAAGGAGGAAGATCCTGGACAGATGTAGACAAAAGCAAAAACAGCAACACTGAGAGGTAATAATAATATAAGCTGCTGAAATGAAGTACAAATTTGATAGTTTTAAGGAAAAGTGACAGAGAACAAACTGAAATTGGCTATGGGGACCAAGGAAAGCTTTTATTTCACTTCCAGGTCAAGTGGTACTTGAGAACTGAGAGAAAAACAGCCACCACTTGGAGAATATCAGAGGAAAAGCTAGGTTCACAGGGGGAAATTACTCAAAGTATAAAGATGAAGGAAAAGGTAAAGGAAAAAGTTGAGAAAGAATTATGCTGATAATAGAAGGTTAGAGAGGGGAAGATGAAAAGGACCAGTAAGGACAGAAGTGAGTCACTTGAGAGATGAGGTTTCTGGTACTGACTGATGTGAAATAATAGAAAATTCATATATTGGTCTCTGTCCACAGTTCCTGGCACAGAGATCCTAGAATCTTTGTAATTCTCTAAGTAACAAGATCACTGGGAGGATTTTTTTGTTCTAATATTTGGTCTTTGACCCCGGTTCCTGACACAGAGCTCCTAAACCCTTTGACATTTCCTGGGCGATATGAGTGCCTTTTGTTCTAATGAGGTGACTCTTGGTGGGCTCCTGGATAGCTTCAGGACTGGAACTGGTCACCAGAAAAACAGAACTGCAGTTAGAAACTTGGAACTTTCGGCCCCATCCTCCATTCTCTGGGGAAGTAAAGACTGGAGATTTAGTTAATAATTAATCATGCCTATTTGATGAAGCCTTCATAAAAATCCCAAAAGCATGGAATTCAGAGAGCTTCCAGGTTGTTGAACATTTCCACATAACAGGAAGGTGGCATACCCGAACTCCACAGGAACAGAAGTTTCTGTGCCCCAGCCCTTCCAGAGCACCTCTTATGTCTCTGTTCATCTACTTATTCATCAGTATCTGTTATGATAATCTTTATTATATAATAGCCTAGTAAACATAAGTTACATGTTTCTGAATTTTGTGAGCTATTCTAGCAAATGGTCAATTCAAGAAGATAGATCATGGGAATCTTCAACTTGTAGCCAAGTTAGTTGTGGGTAATCTAGGGACCTATAACTTCCAATTGATATCTAAAGAGAGGGACGGTCTTTGGGGATGGAGCTCTTAACGTGTAGGATCTTAGCTAACTCTGGTTAGTGTCAGATTGTATTGGATTGTAGGACACCCAGCTGGTGTAACAGAATCATTCGATGTGGGGAAAAAAACCACTGATCTGGGGCTGGACATGTTGTGACTATGGTAGCAGTGTTAGAGTAAAGAAGAAACACAGGAGTGTTTGTATTTTCCCCCCTAAACAAACTGACATAAACAGGAATAATGGGCAGAATGAAATTAGTTCTGGTGAATTAAAAACAGGTGATGATGAAGCTGTGTTGGAGGATGAAATGGATGTGTGGAGCTCCCTCTTCTCTCTTCTACATAGAGGAAAGGAGGTTTGAGAAAGCAAGGTATTAGCAGCCTATGAACCCAGCTTATTCCCTTTCACAATGAAAGTAGAATGCCTAGGGGGAGGGTTTGGTATCAGTGTATGAATCTAATTTTGACTCTACTGAGAGGACAAAACTTACTTTAAGAGTCAGGCTAAGCCTTCACCCCTTGTTGATGAAATGGAGACTTCTAGAAAAGCCAGAAATTATCTTTGAGCCCCAGATTCTATGTCTAATAGATGTGAATAATAAAATGTATCCCTACCAAAACTGCGTCCAGGGCATGTCTTACAGTGGGGAGCCAAATAATTATCAGTTACACATTCCACCCCTTCTTTGCCTGTACACACAGTCTGTTTCCTTCCAGTCTTGAATGAGTTGGTTTGAAAGATAGTAATTTTATACATCAACCATAAGGGAGCAAACTATTAACTAGATATAAAGAATTTAGTACAACATTCCTCATGAAATAAAATCACACTGTAAGTAGACCAATGGGGTCAAGTTAATTACTTAATAGGTGCAAAACTTTCATCTCAGTAGGTTATCTTTCAGTAGTCATGTTTGCATCCCCCGTTCATCTATCCATATGTCCAATTTTACAGAGCAGCTATGCTCCAGACACTGTGCAAAGCATTGGTAAGGGAACTAGTCATGATCCCCATCCTCATCATGTTTACAGTGTAGTGAGGAAGGGAAACGTCGATCAAGGTACTGCATGTGTGATGAATATGATGAGGTCAGAGTTTTCCAGACGAACATAACAAAAGGGTCAAGTTTTTAGTCAAGAGTTATCTGAAGCCACATTTTCAAATCCCAAAAGATTGATATCCTGTAGGCTTATTTCTAGAACTATTCCATCAGGAGAAATATGATGGCCATAGCAGGAGAGTGGAGTAGTTACAATATCAGGGAAACAGGATACTACCAATTTCTTAAGCAAAGTTCTTGCCATTTACTGTTTTAGGGCATCGTGTCCTCTGAATCCTCCATCCTCCAACTTCCGTGAACCTAGGGTAAGTTTTACCACACAGCAGAATCTCAGTATCATTTACTTGTATTGAATTGTGCCATGGCATTTGCAGTAATTGGGTCACATTTTCTTAACCACCAAAGTCTTAAGAAGAACCACCTATATAACTGCTCTTCTAGAAGCAGAAGTGTGCAAACCAGAGCATGCCTTTGCTCTCCTCACTTTTGAGATAGTTTTCTGGGTATTCAAAGGGACAATAGCAAAGCTATAACCTCACTGAGTTTGGCTCCAGTTGTGTGATGCTTTGCAGAGACACAGTTTTCTTATGCCTAGTGAGGTCAGCCATCATCTTGCTTTTCAGATGAATAAAATCCACTTTAGATACACACAGTCAGAGGAAGTTTAACTTGCTCTTCATATACTTTATCTTGTTAGCTACTTGATGAGTCATTCTAAACTTCAGCTCATGATTCTTGGTAGAATCCTCCCAAGCCAATCATCCATTGGCTATTAAACCGCATTACTTACTTTGCATACTTTAATGTGTCATTCTATGCTACTACTCCAAAACCAGATTATAATATGGTCTATGTTACTAAAAAATATATACTCACTGCTACTTGGTGGCAAAAATAATCCATTGATATTTCGAGGTTTGCTGTGATAAAAGATACAACTGATCTTCACACAACCAAGAGGCTGAGTTTCCCAGAAGCATGAAATACTGCAGTTTTGCTAGACAAAGAGGTGGGGAAATTAAATGATTAGATACAATAGTCATAATAAATACCATGTGCTACAACGCAACACAATGTGACAAAAACTATTGCAATTACTGATTTAGGATCGTGTGTGTTTCCTGCCTTTTGGCGTTTTTAAGCTCTGCTATTTAAAAGATGCAATGACTATTCCTAAAATATACTCCTCCATTTTTTCCAAGATTTTAAGTTGAGTAAAGTGCCAAATGCCTAAAATTAAGTAGCGGAAAAAAGAATTATGTTTTCCCTATTATGATAAGAACATCGTTTAATATTAGTGGAAGGGAGAACTTTTTAACAAATATGATGATGCTGAGTAATTCTACCTGCATTTCCATGTGTCTAAATCTGCAAAGTGGATCTAAACATTTTCCTTCTCTCCATAATGAGCACACAGTGTCACTGCCAAGGGCCTCTTCACAGTGTCGGAATCGGCACTGGGAACCCTAAAAGAAAAAAAGTAAGCAGTATAGAAAACTCAATATATTAATGTTAGTGTTCCACAACAGTAAATTAAAGAAAATGAGATTAAATTAGAATCACAAAAAAGTACTACAAATATAAGACCATAAATCTAAAATTTAAAATTAGTGTAATTTTAGTGAGAGACTGACAGTATAATCAAATTAAATAGTACACATGCCACAAGTCATTAGTAAAATGCTATTTTTTTGTTATCATTTAATCAATATGGTTCATTCAGCATAGATATATGAGACCAGTGATGCTTTAGAACACAATCCAATGACAGAATAACTCTTTCTGAAGAAAGCCAGAATTTTTAAAAAAGAATCACCAGCCATTTTCTAATTGTGAAGATCTCTATTAATTTTTTTAATTAAACAACGTTTTCTTAGTCTATGGAGATACTGTTAAGTGTGCTAATATAAAAAAAAGTGAATGGAGCTTAAACTTGAGATTATTGTGGAATTTTATGTAATTATCACATTATGTTACATTATATTAAATATATATGCTTTGTGCACTTGGTCTACAAAGATAAAACAATTGTGCCAGTACAAACACACATCAATATCGTTATATACCAACGAAAGCAGATGTAGATTATTTTAATGGGCTGCTATTACTTTTTTTATTCTTTGTCTTTTACACATAGATCCACAGTTGGAAAACTATAGGTCATTGTCTTTTGGGAAGAGAGGTAGGTAATGTACAATAAAATTATTCCATTAAGTTATTCCCTCTTTTGACACATGTTCCATAATTGTTTCTTATTTTTCATCACTCTCTTACTCTCATCTTTACTCTCTCCGCTTTTAAAAGTGGATCTGTAAATCTTGCAGTACAGAGTAGTGCATAGAGTCTAGATAAACCAGTATTTGAACGCCTTGATCCATTACTTGTCCATAGTCACTAAGTCAATACATTACTCACCTTCTTTGTGCCTCAGTTTCCTCATCTTTAAAAGGAGAATAAAATGCCCTCCTCACAATTTGTTGCTAAAATTATGTGAGATACAGTATTGTGATTGCTATTATTATTTTTATCTATTCATTTAATTATTTATTGAGAACTTACTACCCATCAATCACTGTCCTGAGTACTCAGGGACATAGCAGTGAAGCAGACAAACTCTGTGCCCACAAAGGACATAAATGCTATTATTATTTTTCATATCAGGATTTAATCATAAGGTAACAGGCAATAAGAGTGGATTTAACTCTTACAATCAAAGAGGTTGATTCAAATTTCCTTAAACCAGTCTCATCACGTCTTTCACTGATTTCATTCTGCCATGAACATGAAGCCCAAGCATTGAGTTTCTACATTTATTTGCTTTCACTGTGATCCATTAATCTTAATCTCTTAGAATAAATATTTTTCCCATTTAACTTTATAAACTTTAATTCATATCTGACTAATTTGTTTAAATTACTTATTTTCCTTTTTCCATAATATTAAATGTTTGCTGCTATTTAGACTTTTGACAAAGGAAATTCAGTAATTGGGTTAATGAATTTCAAATAAGGAATCAATTTGATTTATTAAACTAAGTTTGATAGTGACCTGAATTTATTTGAATTTATATAAATGAAATCACATTAACCAAAACAGTGTGATGTATCATATGATGTTTCAATATTACGAATTTGATGTTTCAAAGAGCCATATACAGGTGAGAGTGTCATACAAAGATAAAAACGCCATAGGCATGGAACTGGCATATGCAAGGGTAGTTTCAAACAAATCAAAATTTTAAATTATCCCAGATTTCCTCAGAGATATCAATATATCAAAAATATATGGTAAACTTTTACTTCAGATTTTAAATACATAAAATAGTTTACGGGAAAATAGTAAATTTTGATTCAGCAAAGCAAATTGTTGCCATATCTTCCTCCATTCTACTAAAAAGCTTTAACATGTGAAGTACTGTAAATTGTATAATATTTACCTTTATGCATGTGGAATTAAAAAAGAAATAGCAGTCATTCCCAACTTCTGCCATTTTCAACTCTCTTGCTGCTAATCCAATGTGTTTTTTTTTTTAAATATAAAAATTGCAGGAATATAAATATAAGAACTATCAGTGTGTAAGGGGGAAAAAGAATTTCTTTTCCGCAGTCTTTCAGGCTATCAGTAGTATTCCTTTAAAACTGACCTCCTGTTGACAGTATATTACACAATAGATAATTCTTAAAGAAATTTAAATTAGAAGATACCTTCTCTAGCTTTGCAGAAATGTTCAAAGTGGTTGCTAGTAAGCACACAAACTCAGACTTCCAGAATTTTCCTCATTGTTACCAAATCCATTGTTTGCTCATCAGAAATGACCTCACCTGTAACTGTAGGTTAGTTTACCTTAGTGAATACTGTGTAGTATTCCTCTTCTTCAATTCTAGTCTATTAACAAAAAAATGGCTAATAAAAATAAAATAGTACACTTTCTTTCAATGTTCTAATTGATTATGGAACATAAACGAGGTCATAATTTCATAACTTAAAAGTATTAAGTATTTCACAGATAAATATGGCTATTTTCTAAATCTTATTTCTATATATGGTTTAAAAATAAAACTAAAATTTTAAATAAGTAAATATCTATATTTCAAGATAAATTATTTAAATGTGTACTCACAGCTATCCACTGACTTGGAAAAAATATCATTCAGATTGTGATATTTAGTTATTATTAAAATATTCAGGTACCTGAAAATAAATTGGACTACTTATTCATCTTGTAGTTCTATTCCATTCGGTTTTCATCCATCATGAAAGGAGGAAGCTCTTCTCCTAAAGCAGAAAGATTCCAGAGCACTTGCAAATTTTGAGCATTTCTTGAAAGCAAAGTGAAGTACTCTGATTTCCAGAATGGGACATTTCAATCAGCAATTACTGAGGTCTTTCTTCATCTTAGTATTTTTACTAAAAGTACTAGAAATTAATTAAAAAATTAGAAATTAATGAAAATATTCATAGTAGGTAATTTAGAAGATGTCAAAGAGATGACAGATTACACTAAACCAAAATGTATTTTTAAATTGCAATGTACTCTTAACTGGAAACATAAAAGATCAAGTGATATGGATTCCCATTTTACCTAAGTAAAACAGACTAGCTTGGTATGAACTTTTTGAATACAATGCTTTGGGGTAAAAATCTAGGAAATAAAATAAGAAAATAAAATTTAGAAAAGAGTAAAGATAAAATAATAAAAAGAACTGAGCAGTATTAAAAGTGAATGAAAAGATAGGGAATAAAGATTTGGTTAAACCCTTGAAAATATTAGCAAAGATTGATAGAAAAATCTAATATCTTGACTTTTGTTTTACCCTACCTTCTAACTCTACCGCAATGGATCCATCTAAAGCACATAGGTTACTGGGAAAAACACCCCTAAAAATTATCTTTAAGTGGTCTTTGCCACCAGATAAATTCTCTTCCCACCTATCAACTTTTAGCTGCATTGGACTATTTCCAAATACTGTTACCGACCACCATTATTGCATAATTACATGTAAAGCCATGACTAAAGCCATTGTGAAAATCCATGTTTTACATTGAAAAAAGGCTGAACTAATGTTTTTACCTCTTAAAGTTTGTTGTGAACAACTATATTCCATTAGATACAGCAAAAACAAATCATATCAAAATGTGGTTTTTGTTTGTTTCTTTGTTTGTTTTTGTCATTGCAAAGAACAGTGAATAGATCTCTACATTTTAGTAGTCTTTAGAATGCCTGGAGCCCTAATCTCTTCTTTTTACTCTTTTCTTTTCTTTTTTTTTTCTTATTCACTTCTTTCCTTTTGTAAAATTTATTCTAACCTTCCAGAGAAAGCTATACCATACCCATGAGGATTTTTACTCCTTGTAATGGAGTAGTGAGAAATTTGCCTTCTCAGCTTGGGGTTGGCTCAAAAATTCTGTAAATGTTTCGTGTTGGCCGAGGTAGCCTAGCATTAAGGATCTTTCCATCTTAGGTGTATGCTAGAACATTAACACAACCGTTAGAGAAGAAAGTCTTTCTTCAACTTGTAATCCAATAATACCACTTTAAGAGAAGGGGCTGGTAGTTACTCCATGATGACTCTTCAGCCTTACAAGAATCAGGCAAAGCTGCTGGCTGCTACCCATCAAAGAAGGAGTCAGTTTATAACTTTAAATTGGTCCTGTGGCTCTCTCCTGACTTGGACTCCTGTTTCTGTCATAGACTTTGCTCCGGAAACTGATGAAACCAAAAGCACTGGAAATAAACAATGCTTCCTGAGGGAGGAACGGTTATCCTTGATGCTACTATTCGAAAAGTAAGTGGAATGTTTTAGATGATGCTTTCTCAGAAATGACAGAATGTTGGACCTAGAAGATTCTGTGGCAGTTTGGGAAATGACAGTTGATAGTTATGAGGGTTATTTAATTGTTATGCCCTTGAGACTCATGAAACAAGATACTTTTTAGGATTCCTTTGGAGGAACAAAAAAGTCACTGGTTCTTGACTATAAAATGCTAAGAAGGTTCTGGACCCAAGATCTCACAGCCAGCATCAGGTGTGCCCTCCCACTCCCTTAAAAAAAATTTTTTTTTTTGGCCATTTTGTAATTTCCTACGATAAATTATAGCAGAAGAGAAAGCAAATGCTTTGAAATGACAAATCTCTTCTTTCCTCCCTCTCTTTTGAATCCAGCAATCAAAAACTGGAATGCTTTTAGGAATATTTGGGAACTCCCTTATATAGAGATATTCCAAGTGAGGTATAGTTGTTTGATTTATAAGGGCTAAGTCAGGAAAATGCTGAACAGTATGATACCTGCAGAGAAGACAATTATAGATATGAAACCTGGGCCTTGTCCAAGAACATGAAAAATGGCAATAGTCAAAACTCCCCTACTGAGAATTACTAGCTTCGATGAGATAGAAAGGCTATTACTAAATATTTAATATTTATTTTATTTAGTCATTGACTTATCACTACCCTCCAGTATTCTTTTGAGCAATTGTCAGTTTTGTTTTGTTTTGTTTTTTAGCACGGCATTTGGAGCTCATATTTAAGATAAATGAGATGCCTATGAAAAAAAATGAGATTGAAATCTGGTTGTTGGTATTGTGTGCTTTGGATTAGTTTAAAGCTAAACTTTACATTCACTCCGTAAATAACATCAGGTCCAATTTCTACCATATTACACCGCATACTGGGGCGTTATCCAAATAGTAATCGTTATTCTTTTGTCCCAGATGTTTAAATGCAGCGTTTTCTAACATTCTTCCTGGGAAATCAATGTTCATTCTGCCTTTGGATGTCTCTGGCTCTTTCTAAACTTCTACAGTGCTTTGCCCTGGAACTTATTAAAGAGAACAGCAAAAAAGGTTTCACCAGAATAATGTAAAATCACCACTGAAATGATGCGTTACTTATAACTTGATATTGTTTAATTTTCATAAATATCATCGGTTACTAAGTGTGGTTAAGTACACACACACACACACACACACACCAGAAACGGATCTTCGTTTTTTCAAGCTCCTTAGAACCTGGTGGGGACGCTTCCAGGAGGGCAGGTGGGGGCGTTTCGGCTCTAGCACTACAATTCCCAGAAGGCACCGCGGCCAAGAGGCCGCTTCCGGGCTCACGTCCGCACCTCACGCTCGGTGTTGGGAGACGTGGGCCGTGCCGGTGTGCTTGAGCGTGAAGTGTGCGTGGTTTGAGCGCAGCGGCTGACTGGTTAGCCTACCCGTGCCCGGCGCTGTTCCAGGCTCGCTTTCTACTTCGCATTGCATGTTAGGCCTACCATGAGGCGTCTGGGCTCGGTGCAGCGGAAAATGCCGTGTGTGTTTGTGACGGAAGTGAAAGAGGAGCCCTCCACCAAAAGGGAGCATCAGGTACTGAGGGTTGCAGGTCCCGCCGGGCAGCGGCGTGTAGGCTTCTCTCCAGGGCGCTGACTGCGTTTGAACCCGGCTTAGGGCGCCTGGGCGTGTTGGAGCCGCCCTATAGGCCGGGACCTCTTTGCCGGTTTCGCTTGGGGCGTGGGTGGGGGAGGCTGGCGGGAGGAGAGGGGAGGAGTCTCGCACACCCTGAGCTCCAGGTTCTTCTCAGTTGCAGTGGAGAAAATCTTCAAAAGAATTTTTCTGAGCAGGCGATTCAGACTTGCCCTCGCGAGGAAATTGAAAACCCACATCTTAAGTAATATCTCTTTTTTCTCTGGTTACCACCTTTTGGAGAAAAACCTTTATAAGTAAATAATCACTGCAGTACAAGCTTCTCCGCCCCCCGAGAATGTGGTGACAAAGTGGAGTTTTTAGAAGATTTACTTTACCTGTTCTAACCTGGGGACTGATATCAGTGTTGACAGCTAACCTAATTAGGTCACTAAAGATCAGGCCTCTCGTGTTGATACTAGTAATTACTCACTTGATGCTAATTTTAGTGTTTCTATCTCCAGGTTTTCTATTCTCTCAGCACCGTGTTTTATTCATAGAAGACCCTTAGTAAAGATGGGTGGGTTAGTAACCTGTATACAGATGGTTCTTTATAGCAAAATCTTGATAGCAGAATCCCCAGTTCTCAGTTGGGTGCTTCCAACTTCTCATACAAAATCCGCATGTATATTTGAGAAAGACCCCTAGCCTCTTGACATTATTTGCACTGGCCTCCTTGTCTTCCAGACTGAAAGACCTTTAAGGCTAAGACCGCCATGTCTATAGCCCCAGTTTCTAGGACCTGACACATGGCAGCCACTGCATAAATATTTGTTCAATTAAAGATGAACTCTGGAATCATTTCATGGCAGTTTTCCATTCACCTTGACACTTTTCACCTTATTTCTTTCTATCCTCCTTTCTATAGTCATCACTGTTATGGTTCTTAATATTTATTTATGTGCTGCTTATTGCACTAATTGTTCTTTCTTGCCACCAGAATGATCATTATGCGCTTTCCTAGTCAAACTCCCTCAGTTACTGTTACAATAGTTGTCAGGCTTTCATTTTTTAAGTCCTAAAAAACCTAATCCATGTGAAACATTGTCATCCTGAATAGTGGTTCACTGTAGCTGTGGTTCTCAACTTTGTACGTTGGGTCGGGGAAGTGTAGTTTGTAAAAGCACCCTCTACTAGGAAAAATAAGCCGCTTGTCTCCTTCTGCAGTTAATAGCTTATAGTATTGCTTATAGCATAGCATACAAATCCTTAACTATAATTCAAGGCTTCTTGTTTATCAGGCCCAGTCTATTCTCTAACCCAATTTAAAGTGAATTCTCCGTTCAACAAAGTCTATTTTTTCCTCTGAGTGTACCAGGCACAGTCCTGTCTCTATATTTTACTAAGGCTATGTACTCTGCCTGGATCACCTCCAGAAGTTTTAATTTTTTGAATTGGATCTTCTGTGTGAAATCTTAGTTATCCCAGTGATTTTCCTTACCCAGAAATTGTAGAGGATCACTCTACTGTCTAGTTTTTACACATACATGCTTTGTTTTTCCAGTCACAGTTTAAAGTCTTTAATGGCAGGTAGAGGAGAACTTTGTGTACCCCTTTGTATCTTATGTTGTCCTTTGGACATGTCCGTAGCAGAGAATGGCAGATCATTTATTCTTGTGGAAGGGATATTTGTACTCAAGAGCTCCATGAGCAATGCCTTCTCTCTGGGATCTTTGATAAATTTAAACACACACACACACACACACACACACACACACACACACACACACACACACTCTGTTGGGCCAGACTTTCTTGGTTGTACCACCACAGATTAAATTGATAGCCTATGATACTGAAGTCATAGTTAGTGGTAAGTCCCCCATTCATTTTACCTTACAAGTACTGTCAGTACCAGAATGGGGTTAATTTCCTAAGTTTACTTGACTCTAAAACAGGACTTCCACTTATTAGTCTTAAGCCCATACACGGCAGTATATGTTTATATTGTGTAGTGTTTTTTTACATTATGTAAGACGAATTGTACATCAAATAATTTAGACTATAAAACAGAGGCATAAACCTTTCTCAGAAATGAAAATACAGATGAAAAGTTGGTAGGAACCACAGAAATGGTCTCTTCCTTCATTCTCAAAGCTCTTTTGGCTTGTCTTCCTGTCAGTAAAAAAACATAAATTGAATATACAATTTACTACTATAAAGCTGAAAGGGTCCCCATTTGTTTTTCCCCTTAGAACTTATCACCCCTAACATTGTATTATGCATTTTGTTACTGTTGTCTTCCTTAGGGCAGGTTTGTTCACCTCTGTATTTCCCAGGGCCAGCGACAATGCTTAATCCAAGGGAGGCATTTAACAAATAATTGTCAAGTAAATGATTGAATACACCAAACACCTCTGCTAGGGATGCAGTGCTACCTAGGACATGGTTCCTGGTGTCATGTTCATTATGGTGGATAAAGAAATGTAAATAATTAAAAATCTGTGTGGAAAACAGGTATTGCTGTGACAGAATGAAAAGAAGGGGGCAGTTCCTGAAAACTTCATGGACAAAATATTTTTAAATTGTCTTGGATAAATAAGAGTTTGCCCTTTAGAACTAGTGAAATTAAGAACATTTCAGGTGAGAGTGTGTGTGAAGGTATAGATGTTGTCTTTGTTAAACCAGTTTTTTTTTCTCTCCCTCTCTCAAGCCATTTAAAGTTTTGGCAACTGAAACTATAAGTCACAAGGCATTAGATGCAGATATATACAGTGCAATTCCAACAGAAAAAGTGGATGGAACATGTTGTTATGTTACTACCTACAAAGGTAAAATAAAACTATACTACAAATATTTATTCTTAATCACTTTACAAACTATATATATCTGAAATGGGGCATTTGCTCTTCATAAATCTTTAGAAACCTAAGTATAATAGCAAAATAATAAAATCACAATTGCTATACTTATTATACTATACCTTTTTTCTTGGGGGAGGAAAGGGAGGTAATTAATATGTACTTAATATCCATGAAGGGCCATAAAGTATGATAATTGCTTTACGTGTGTGATTTCTTTTTTGCACAATAAGCTATTTCACAGATATGGAAAGTGAGGCTCAGAGAACTTACATATTAATTGTCAACTATGTTAAGGAAAAAAATTCATTGAAAAGAGAGAAATAATCTTTATGATTTCTTTTGGGAGGCGAAGTTACCTTTCAATTCCAGCAAGAGAAATAGAATAGTTGAATGCAAATGGGATGCATTTCTGGTATCAGGAAATATCTTCTGAAATACATTTTTTAAATTTTTAATTGTGAGAATACACATAATATAAAATGTATCATCTTAACCATTCTTAAGTGTACAGTTTACCTTGTGCTACTATCACCACCATCCATCACCAGAACTCTTTTCATGTTGCAAAACAAACACTACCCATTAAACAACTCACCATTCCCCCTCCCTCCAGGCCTTGTCCGTCACCATTCTACTTTGTCTCTACGATTTTGATTAGATAACTCGTGTAAGTGGAATCATACAGTCTTTGTCTTTTTGTGACTGGCTTATTTCACTTAGCACGATGTCCTCAAAGTTAATCCATGTTGTAGTACGTCAGAATTTCCGTCCTTTTTAAGGCTGAATAATACTCTGTTGTATGTATTTTGTTTATCCATTCACCCATCAGTGTACACTTGGGCTGCTTCCACCTTTTGGCTATTGTAAACAACGATATGAACATTGTGTAAAAAATATCTCTCTGAAACCCTGCTTCCAGTTCTTTTGGGTATATATCCAGATGTGGAATTGTTGGACCATATGGTGGTTCTATTTTTAATTTTTTGAGGAACTTCCATACTGTTTTCCATAGAAGTTGCACTATTTACATTCCTACTAACTACACAGGGTTCTCTGATTTTTTCCACATCCTCATCAATACTTGTTATTTTTTTTATAGTAGCCATCTTAATCTATGTGAAATGAATTTTTTTGTTTACCTGAAAAAAGATATCCATTTAACCAAAATGACAGTATTTTAATTTGGTTCCTCTGTACATTAAGGAACTTCAGTGTGCATCATTAGTTGTGATCATGTACAATGATGACAGTTGAATAAAGTTAGATTGCTAAAGAAATTTAAGAGGACCTAAAATGACAATTCCTTCAAATCCACAGTTTATTACAGATAAAGGATACATAATTATAGCAACGATATTGAAAGTAAGGATGTACATCACAGCCAAAGACTATTTCACAACAAAGGGTTAAGAGAAGCCAGGTGAAAGCTCCTGTTGTCTCCCCTCTTCCCCTACCCCGGCCTCTAGGCCCTGGCAGGACACACTTTCTCACATCAGGAAACTCTGGTGTGTAGTGAACACCTCAGAAACAACACAAAATGGAGTCTCAGCTGAGTAATTTTGTATTTTGTTGGTCACAGGGGCATCTTCCTGCTAAGTAATCAGCCTCAATACCAGAGCCCTCCAGGAGTCTCAGACCAGGTGCAATTCATTAGTCTCCTTATCATTAATGATGAATGCTGGCACACTGCCCTGAAACTTCTTGTACCCATGATTACAGATTGTCACTATTAGTCTGTTTCATGCCTTGACCAGGGGTCAGAGCCATGCAAAATAGTTTATCCTAATTCCAGATCTTCGGGAATTAACCATCATAGTTAAAATGTTTCAGGGAAGGTGTGAATACAATTATCTGGTTATATTTCCATTTTGTATAGCTTCAGTTTCTCACAAATGCTAGTTATAATAAAATATGGCTTGGAATGTCTTTATGAGAGGGTCACATATTTGCTTATCTCATCCTCATTCTTTTACCAAAGACTTAAGTCTTCTTACAACATCAGGTATTGCTAGGTAGGATGTGGCTCTTATACTGCATTTCACTTTGTTTTCTAGGGTTGTTTCTCTTGGAGATGACCCTACTGTTTATTGAAAAATTTTATTCTGAAATGTCTTTCAAGGTAAGTTTTACTATTTGCCTCTTAAGACTTTTTCTTTTATTAATTTTTTAGGTCAGCCATACCTTTGGGCTCGGCTAGATAGAAAACCTAACAAGCTAGCTGAGAAAAGATTTAAAAATTTTCTACATTCAAAACAAAACTCAAAAGGTTAGTGAATCTTTTTCTAAAATTTATTTAAAGCTTTTTATTATTTAAATAGTTGAAATTTGTGACTTATTCCTTGCTGTGGTGTTTCTATATATTATATCCTTTTGTACAATTTAGGACCTTTGGAAAAAGAAGAAAATTAGAATTGAATATTATCGATTATTCTTTTTTTAATGTTTTCTTAATATTTCTGACTCATTATAGTATGTCAGTGTAATTAAAACATACAAATTAATGTATATACACGCACACACACACATTGTGTGTGTGTGTGTGTGTGTATTAAATAACGAACAACACATTAATTTTGTCTACCTAAGAGACAAAATGTAATTTTATAAATCAGGCACAAGTCTCAAAGGATTACTAATATTTTAAATATTACATTAAAATGCCTCTAAATATTGATATATACACTCATCATTGCATATCTACTCATTCGTATATATAATCTTTATACATACATTTGTATTCATAGTGCATTAAAAATTCATTATAAATCTATACATATTAGAACACTGGCTACTTTAGTTAGACTTTTATCCTATTTATAGAAGTGGTGTGTCCAAATTTGAAAATTTAAAGTGTTAGTACCTAAATCTTGCGAAGTAGTCATATTGTGATGATAATGGAGAATAATGAGTTGATATCAGATATTATGGGGTTTATTAGCCGTCACCAGTTTGTTTTTTCAATATTTTTATATTTATTGAAGTATAGCCACTTTTACAATTATCTAACTCTTTTAGAATTTTTTTGGAATGTTGATGAGGACTTCAAACCTGTTCCAGAGTGCTGGATACCAGCGAAAGATACAGAACAATTAAATGGAAATCCAATGCCTGATGAAAATGGACACATTCCTGGTATCATGAAATCTCTTCTAAAATGCAGTTTTGTGTTTACTAGTATAAAGAACAAAAGATCCATTTGATTAGAAATTACAGAATTTGATTTTAATGTTTTTTTTCATAGTATTATCTATTTAGTACAAAATTTGAGTCTAATGTATGTTAAATTTAACAATTTTACCAAAGATGTTTCACATCAAGAATGTCTTGTCAGGTTTAGAATCTTTTCTAAGATGACAGTCGATTATCTATAGTCTGAAAATTAATGGTGTTGAGTGGCAATAGCCTTTCATTTGTCAAGATAGACAGTATATTGACTGATGTAATCTAAAATGAGATACTAAGAAGCCTTTACCTTTTAGATTGGGGAATAACAACATGTGCATATTTTTTGCAAAGACCCTAGAAGACTATTTCAGCTAAGTAAGGTGAAAATAGGTGTCTCACAAGTAGTTTTACTGGGGATGGGAATATTTTTGCAAAAGTGTGCTGAGTAAAAAGATACCTCAGATTAAGGTTCAGTTTAACAGGCATGTCTTGAGTACCTGTAATTTGCAAAGTATTCTTAAGTTCTGGTAATATAAAAATGAAGATCAGAAACCTTATACTCAATGATCTTGTAGGCATTAGGGGAAATCCACCAGTAATAGTATGATTTAAGAATGAAAAAAATACATAGGGTACGGTCAGAGAAAAGAGGAATAATTCCTAGTTCAATCTGTGGTGGTTAGAGGCAGCTTCTGAGGAGAGGAGAGATCTGTACTGAAGCTTAAGAACCAGGAAGTTCACTGGCAAGGAAGAGGGGAGGTCAGCTTAGGCAGACGCAGGAAGAGATCCATGGAATCTTGGAAATTTTACTTAACAGTTCATTCTGGCTGAAACGTTTAGAGTATATGACATTTGAGGAGATTATAAAAATGGAGGCTGGAGATGTAGAGTGGGCTCAGATTTGTATCCTGTCTAAAGAAATGTGAAGTTTACCCAGAAGATGATTATTAAGCAGGGGTACAGCAGAACTAAACTTAAATTTCTTAAATAGAACTATGATAAAAATATGTGAGTTTCACTGGAGATGAAATCAACAGAGGTTATTACAGAAAGCTGGGTAATCAAGGCCAGAAATATGATGGTCATAGTGGCATATATGCCAGTTTCTTTCTTCTTGTAAGGAATTCTCCATAATGAGGACATCTATCCTGACAATAGAAATTAGGAGGGGAATAGCAATAGCATTCAATAAATGTGGAATCAATAAATCTTTCAGTAAATATTGAAACAATAAATTGTGGAACAGTTACTGTATATGTCTTATCCCTGAAACTGGAGAAGGTAGAAAGAAAACTTAAAAAAAAAAAAAAGTTTTAATGCTGGTTTAGAATGGTGCTCAATTCTTATTGAAAAGGTGAATTTTCTAGTAAAAGAATGCTAGGTGTTGTGTAGTAAATAAGTTAATTCCTCAACAGAATCTAAAATGAAACAATTAAAAAATTGGTTATGATTTTAAAAATTAGTAAAACTGTTTTCACTGATTTTAAAAGTGATACGTGTGTGTGATAGAACATCCAGAAAATATGGAAAATTTACAACATAAATAAAAAGTCTCAAGTCTCAGTGCAAAGAAAAACAATGTAATAAACTTTTTTCTTTAAATGATAGGTTGGGTACCTGTGGAGAAAAACAACAAACAGTATTGCTGGCATTCCTCTGTAGTTAATTATGAATTTGAAATTGCCCTAGTACTGAAGCATCATCCTGATGATTCTGGTCTTTTGGAAATTAGTGCAGTGCCACTATCAGACCTCTTAGAACAGACACTGGAGCTTATAGGAACAAATATTAATGGAAACCCATATGGTGAGCAAAGCCTTTTTTCTGTTCATTTCCAGTAACTGTCATTTATAAAGAGAACTTCGTAGGTTCAACTTAAAAAACACATACACACTACAGAAATAACTAATTTGAGCTATGTAGCCTAGGATTATAGCCATTTCTATTTTGTGTCTGGTGAAATTTATCTAAATAATTTTATTAATCCAAAAGGTTGATTTTAGCCTCTCCTTCCCTATAACATTATAAAACTATATGTGAAAGGTAATTACTCAAGTGTAACTTTTCATTGCTTTTTAAAATTTAGGTGAACTGAGCTGAATGAAAATCATGATGTGCTTTTCAGTGGCTGAGTAGTTTAGCATTAATAGCTAAGCATAAATTATGTAAAGAATTGGCAGTGAATGGCATATCAAGCTCTGATGAGGTGAGTTCAAGTCCTGAGGGCACCTAGGAGTACGTTGTTGATGGTGATGGATGAAGACAGACCCAGGAACATTAAGGCTGGAGTGGCACAATCCTATATAGCAATCAGGAGCAGACTGATTGGCAAGTGGAAAGAAGCTAAGATAATAATTATACAAGTTATCAGAGTTATGGTATGGCTGTTTGGCAAACACTTAAAATTGAATGCGACTAATGGTGAATAAAAGGGGTTGGTGGACTTTTTCTGTATGAGGCCAGATAGGAACTATTTAGGTTTTTTGGGCCATACCTCTGAAACAGGCCATAGATAGTACGTAAATAAAAGAGTGTGGCTGTGTTCCATTGAAACTGCGTACAACAACAGGCATCTGGCTGGATTTCACCCACAGTTCATATAGCTTTTGGTCCCCTTGTATAGAGTACATGAAGTTAGAATTTAGATTTAATGGGGTAAGGTGCCACTTTTGAGTGAGAGTATTTGTAGTATATCTCTCTTCAAGGAAACCAACTAACCTTTTTGGTAAGTTTATTCTTAAATATTTTAAAAGGCTTTTTTATTTAGAGGTAAATGTTCTTATTCTTTTTGAAACCTTTCTATGGCTAATGGCAAGATTTTACCGTTTAGGGTTGGGAAGCAAGAAGCATCCATTACATCTTCTTATACCACATGGAGCATTTCAAATAAGAAATCTACCTACCTTGAAGCATAATGACCTATTGTCTTGGTTTGAAGGTTGCAAAGAGGGTAAAATTGAAGGAATAGTATGGCATTGCAATGATGGCTGTTTAATCAAGGTAATGGCAGAAAATATCTTTTGGGTTTATGTCATCTTATATTCCTAAAACAAAGTAGAAGTGGCATTACTTTCTACAAATTGCAGAAATTTTGATGGTGCAGTAAAGAAATTTTAATTTCCACATCTCATGTGCTACCATTCTTTATATGATGGTGTTTCCCAGTGTGTATTTATTCTGTGGGGCAGTGGTTCTTCTAGATGTGCTTCAGAATTAAAGTTATAAAATGCCTGGAAAACCTTGCATACTACATAGTTCCTTTTTCGAAATTTATGTTGCACATTAGTGCTTTCTGAGACATCCTGTGCTTAGTTTAATTCAGCATTTCCCAAACTTACTTCATTGTAGAATTTGTTGAGTTAAAAGAATATCAAGGGTCGATTAATATATAAAGAATGAATTATTTTACACTTTGTGCTCTGTCTCTGGGACTTGTTTATTTGATTTCTCACAGGTTCCTAAAATTCTTCATGTTCAAAACTGGACCTAGTCATATCACCTGCTGATTCCAACAGTTCACTGAAGCCAACAACTTAGATATCATTTTTAACTCCACTCTCCATTACTTCATACATCTAGTTATCAGTTCTTAAAGATTTTACTGAATCTATATTTCTCTCCAACCAATTAGCTGTTAATTTTAATTTAAACCAAGATTCATGCTTGAATTATTATATTGTCCCCTTAAATGTTAACTTTCAGCCTTATCCCTGTCCTGTTCATTCTTCATAAATGAATGAGAATGTTACTTCTCTGCATTAAACTGTTTAATGACATTAAGATTTTTCATGGCCAGGCCCCTGTTTAACTTTCTGGAACTGCCTCCATTCCCATCTCCTAAACACACCCACATTGTATATGTTCTAACTGTACTTAATTGCAGAGAAAAAACACCATGTGTCACATGATATTCCCTTTGGTTAGAATGCCTCCCCACTGACATTTTTCAGCTGGTTAGCTTCTGTACTCAGCAACAGACTCTTATTATTCATTAAATTTTTATGAAGCCCCTGATGATGTTCCTGGCATGTTTCCAAGTGCTGGAAATAGTCAACAAAACAGTGCCTTTGCTTTCACGAAGCTCATATTCTAATGGGGAAGATAGACAATAATAAATAAGTAAATATATGTCAGGAGAACAGGTATGAAAATAAAAAAGATAAGATAGAGCCTTAAATAGTACCTAGCAGATGGTAGGCACTCTAAATATTTGTTAGCGAATGGAGATAATACAGGTTAAAGCTGATACCCTTTTTTTCTCTTTTCAGGTCCATCGCCATCATCTCGGTTTATGCTGGCCAATTCCAGATACTTACATGAATTCAAAACCAGTTATTATCAACATGAACCTGAACAGATATGATTGTGCTTTTGACACTAAATGTTTATTTAATCATTTTTCAAAAATAGATAATCAGAAATTTGGTAGGCTCAAAGATGTAATACTCGATATATAAACTGGTAATACAATTAAAAACTAGCTTTATTGTTGTTATATTTGAATCTTGAATATTCTGCCATATTTAAAACATTCCTATTTATTGTTAAATGTCTAATATAGCAGTATGTCTTCTAGCATTTAAAGACATGAATTTCTCAGTTGTAAATACCTATTCAAAATTGTATTTAGAACCAGCAAATGAATTTTAACCATTGGACATAAAAAATGTAAATAATGGTAAGGTCGTCAGCTTGTACATAGGTTGGATTCTGTCCATTCTAACTGGGTACTAATTTAAAGATAACAAACCAACAATTTTGGAATGTTTATTTTCAAAATTATTTTAAGCTGAATTGAATCTTGCCAGACATTTAACAACACATGGCTTAACCTCATATTTATAGATATATACATAAAATTACAGACATACATAAAATTTGAAAACTTTACCACATAAATAGGTAAGTATATAAATCTCCAATTTTAAATGTTAAAATAGTAAAGTTTACCCTCATACTGTTTAAAACTTAATCAAAACATTATGAATCTACAGAAATTCACTGTAGCTAATTGCCTATTTGATAGTCATAACTTATTCTAAAACTCTTCAAAAATATACTTTTCTAATGTGTTAAAATTTTCATATAATTTTATTTACTAAAAATTCTCATTTAGGTAAAGGCACAAGATACTGGAAAGGAAATCATGTAGGTCAGAGACTTGCTTGATTTCCAGATGGAATTTTAACTTATAAAGTTAATAAATAGTTAAATAATTTAAAACTACACTTATAGCTGGCCCTTAATAAATGGGGAAGTTATCAGGATTTCCCTCTTCATCTTCAAACTGTTCAGAAGCAGCAACAGGACTAGTTAATTCAACTCCAAATTGTTCAGAAAGTTTTTTTAACTTCTCTTCTAAAAGAATATTTTTTTTTACTTCTTCTTTATAATTATACTTCAGATCTTCAATTTCTTCAAAAAACGAAGGATCAAAATTTTCTAGCTCTTTCTTCAGCTTTTTTATTTCCTCCTAATAGAAACATATGATATTTAAAAGGCATATATAGCTATAAAATACACTCTAGGTTTGAACTAAAGAGTTTTAATTGCAAACATGAAAGTCAAAGTAACCTGAATAGTCGAAAATAAAGGTAGAAGTATTTTCTTAAGATTCTGTTAATAAGGTTTCATTGTACAGTATAAGTAACTAACTGTCAAATCAAAAATTGTTTTCTGTAAGTTATGTCCTAGTATTTGACTAAAATTTATTAGCTCTAAATTAGCGAGAATTTAATCTTTCTTCAAAGGCATAGATATTCTCAGTGAGGCAACCAAAAAGACTTGGTTATTCACAACATCGAAATTGTTTTCGTTAAGATTCTTAGTCTTCATTTATATTTTCTTTACGAATACCTAATTTTTAATGAATAATGGTCAACTTCTTATATGTTTATGATACAGGATAATGTAGGGCGTCAGCCTGGCTAGGAGTTACACATCTGGTGAAGAGAAAATTTGAGTTTTAAAGACCATTCAGAATAGCCAGTGATCACTAACTGTCATACCATGCTCTTTTGATCTGTTTACAGATTCTTAAGAGATGAAGCATAGCAAGTATCTTTCTTTAACGGAAGGGAACTATTCCTGAAAAGGATTTCAAAGGGAAATAAAAAGACACTGTTCACAATGTGACCCAAAACTTAAAATACTAAAATAATGAACTATATTTGTGACAGTTAAAGTAAATTTACTTTTTAATACTATTTATGTCTCAGTTTTTCTGATAGCTCTTAATATTTTTGAGAGATGAATATAATGAACTCTGTAATATCAATGTCAAATATAAGTATAAAAACTCAAATATGATGATCATAAAAAGCTTTCAATAGCCGTTTTCACAAAACATAACACTAATTAGGTATTTTAAATATTTAATTACCTCCATATGCTGCTTTTCTAGATCTGAGGTTTTGAGCTGTGTCTCTAGATCTTTTATCTTTTCCTTTAGTTGATCAGGATCTGCCAAAAAAATTATAAAAATCAGATTTAGCTTTTTCTCACTCTGAATAAGATCAAGATACATGATTTGTTTTAGCAAATAAAGAGAAAACTTATGAAACTAGAGCCTGGAAAATAATGGCTTTTTATGGGTAAAACACTTAAGGCTATGAATACTATATGCTGCCTCTATTAGGTATTGTAATTCTATAGCAAAGAGAAAATGTATCTGCTAGGTATTAGAAGTGTAAGGTTAATTTTTTACATGGAAGAAATTATTTTCCAGAGAAAAATTCTAGCGCCTGGAAAATAAGTAATAAAAGTACAACAAAAATAAGTAAACTTAGGTAAGCGACCATAACCATAAGCTGGCCAAATGCTCCTGTTCCTCAACAGCACTGGCTATTCCATGTAGGTCAATATGCGTTTATTGTTTAATTACTATGTGACAGATGTGCTCAGCAGGATGGATAACATGAATGAGTCCTGATACTTTGGTGGAAAATGTTAAGAATACAAACAGCACAAGGGCTTTGGTGTAATTTATGGATCAACCTCTCCCCTGACTCCAAGTTAACATAGCTCTAACTTTATGAGAATCAATGGGCAAATAGTATTTTTGCTTTAATTGCTAGTCTGCTATTTTCTTTAAACACTGCATATAATGTGTCATGTGGTCAAATTTTTGCAGCCATTGAGGGGAAAACTTTTAATGCTAAAGTTTGAGAAAATAATGGGTAGCAAACACATTTTCATGAATGAGACAGGACGTATATTATGTTGCCTTTGAAATGATCCTCTAATTATAAGTTGGACAGAAGCAATATTTTCCTCATCCTTTCTTATGGGAATTCAGTCAGCAGAATTGTACTTTTCAAACTTCTCTCACCTTTACAGAAAGCGTTAATGAGTTTTTAAGAGTTCATTCTTAAACACTTAGACGCTATAAGTGTTTAAGAGTTGATGTCTTAATCAGTGGGACACTGTATGTCACACAGGTTGCAATGTGTAGCGTCTTCCAAGTCAGCTGAATGGCCACTTACATTTAAAGAGTGCTTTAGGGTTTATAAAAGTTAGTTTGATGTTGAGCCTTAAATCTTTGAGGTATGATAGGTATCCTTATGTCCTGGAGATAAGGAATATGAGGATTCAGAAATTCCCTCTCAGGAATCAGTTTTAGAAAGAGACTGCCTAATGTCAATGGCATTAACAGGTCTTTGGTACTGTGTCTAGTCTAGTATACCAAGCTGGCTTCTATGAGAGGTACTGTTGAGAGATTATATATACTTTAAGTCATGAAGAGGCAATGTAGCATAGGGAATAGAAAGGAGCTGTGGAGTTTCCCAGATTTAGGTTTCATCCTGCTTCTGCCACTTTCTTGCCTGTTGTGATCTTGGGGACAGGTTACTTAACCTTTTTGAATCTGTTTATCTCAGGTATAATGAAGACAACAGTAACCACCTTACAGGGTTATAAGAAATTATAAAAGGCTTATGAGGCACTTAGAATAGTGTGTGGCACAACTCATACATAACAGCTTAAATATAAAGTAGCAACAGGACTACATGGTAGGATACTGAAAAAGCTATATGAAATGGTCAAATATTGTTCAGATATAAACTGGCATAATGCTTTAGCACAGAATTTGGCATTTCCATCAGGCTATCCGATAAAATAAACAACAGTACCAACAACTGATTCTCTTTATTTGCAGTAGTTAATGGTCTATAAAGTCAACAAGAACAATAAATTAGTGAATACTGAACCACTGCTCTTGGGGAAAAAGATTACTAGGTAGAGATAGATATATATCTATACACATGTATATAATATACATATACATACACATATATTAAATTTCTTAAATCCTGAAAACAATTCATCCTGGTAGATTCTATTTTCTTTCTTTTACAAAAGAGAATACAAGGTTCAGAAGTGTCAAGTGACTCTCCTCTCCTGAGGCTGCTCCACTAACAAGTGTCAGAGTTGGGATTTAAACCCAGTCCAAAAGGCCCCAGAACCAGTGCTTCTTGCCCTAAGCTGCACTGCCACCTCATGTCCATCCTCTGGTCATTTCTGTATGAAAGCTGAAACAGTGCAGAGCCTCACCTTGTTGGAGCTCATCTGGGAAAAAGTGGGTCAGACAAATTTTTTACTGCTCTGTATTTTCACAAAAGCACCGTGTGTACTGATTATGGGGTTACAGGTAAATTTTAGTAAGTGAATTCATAAGGCATCTGCAAATAATGATGATCAACTATTCATTGTGTGAACGTATGTACATATAAATTATGTATGTATGTATACATGCATACATAAGCACATAGGAATAGGGGAATGATTAGTAATCACTTCTCTTGAATGTGAATGGAAGGGTAAAAGGACAATTTCTTTTACTTTGTAAAAGGAAAAAAGAATATAGGCTCTGTTTACTTATTTAGTTTTTAAATTAAGAAGACAACATTTAGAAGAAAATGTTCAAAGGGCTTAAAAGGGTCTATACTTAAAAACAGAAAGCAAAAGACCTAGTATTCATCGCTTAGCACTTGTTAAGATAAAATCTGTAACACCTATATGGAACTAAGAAAAACACTTGAGTACTTGCTACTCAATATTACAAACAAGGGACTCGATGGGAATGTTATTTTTGCATGGACAAAGACAGCTCTAAAAACTTAAATCAGGGATTTAACTTTATGGGAAGACAGCAGAAATCTGAACAAACAAAAAAGGCAAACCCTAATTCAAATACTTGTGTTAGCTAACATGCTATAAATATGTTATAAAATGCATTACCAGGGATGGTGCTCTCAGCTCCACTTTGGTCCTTGTGTACTTCTATCTGATGGATTAATTCTGCTTTTTCTTTTTCCAGTTGACTATTAGCTAATCTAGAACACAATGATAATGTATTAAAAAGGCATTGCTCCACAAATTATATAGACATTTCTTATGAACTATCCAGTGCTTAGAAATTGCTGATATTTATAAAAGGACACATTTACTCATATACTCTTACTGCTGCAATAATACCATTCTCAAAGAGAGATCATGGAATCAAA